GGGTAGTGTAGACCAAGCCTAAGTAACATCTTTCTGAGAGAGAGGTTTTAAAAAAGAAAAATGATTCTTTCTCTCAAAATACTGGGAACTTTCTAACCACTCTAATGCGTTGCACTTCCCTGGCCCCTGCCTGCCATCCATCCAATGATCTCAAAGGGCTTTACAAAGATTAATGAACTAAACAGCATAATTACCCTGTCATACTACTCACCTACATTGTACCTATTTTACAGATGGGGAAACTGAGACAGGGAGGCCAAGACCAACATTTTCAAAAGTGGTCACTTATTTTGGATAGGTCAGTTTTTGGGAGCCCAACAAGAGGCCGGTTTCCACAAATGTTGAGTGCATACAGCGCCCATTGGAAGTCAGTGGGCGCTGAGAGTGCTCAAGGTGTCTTGAGTTGAGCTTCTAAAATCAGAGGCCACTTTTGAAAATTTGGCTGCAAGTGACTGGCTCAAGCTCCCATAGGGAGCTGGGAATAGACTCTGGATCTCCTGACCTTCTGCTTTAACTGCAAGCCCATTTTTCCCTTGGCTGCTGAGCCAAGCAAGCTGCATTGCTATCCTGCTGGCTGCAAACATGACTGCTCAGAATTGTTTTCTTTGTACATGTGCATGTAGTGCTATTAATATCAATGAGGGGGACGCGTCACATGTGTTTTGCAGGAAGTTAACTTGTGCACAAATGCTCACAGTGTTACCGCTACTTGTAAGCTCTTTGGGGCAGGGATCATCTATTTTGGTCAGTGTTTGTGCAGCACCTACTACCACGGGCTCCTTGTCCATGACTACGGCTCCTAGGTACTACAGCTATTCAAAGAATAATACTAATTGCTTGGGGTTTGTGAATTGAACTTCCAAATATCACCAACTTAGTCCCAGCTCAGTTGTTTGAACTGTTGTCCTGCCCTCACTAGTTTGAGTTGACCTTCATGAAAGGAGCACTGTCTAAGATGCTTCTAAGGTCCTTTAAGGAGCAGACTGAGTGGCCGAATAGTCTCGATATACTGCAAGAGGGCAAGGAGAAGACTTATTTGCAGTTGATCGGGGGTGAAGATCAGGAGCGATGACCTTTGAATAACACTAATCCCCAAAACCTCGGTTTTGTTTACAGAAAATAAATAGAATTTTAGGGGGAGGGGGGAAATCATGAAACTTAAAAATAAATAAATACATTGGTTTCAGTGCAAACAGTTTGGATTTTGTGAGAGCTGAATGCTGCAGAATCCAGATCCTGCATCACGACTAAGATGTGGAATTGACAATAAACAGAGCTGGCCAGTTTCCCCATCCATGCCGAGTGAGGTGCAAAAAGGCAACTCAGTGTCTCTCTCCCCTTTTGTGTATTATTATTGATCATTGTATTACAATAGCTTCTAGAGGCCGCTAGTGAGATTGGGCCCATTTGTGCTAGGCACTGCACAAATCCATTATAAGAGAGAGCTCCTGCTGTAATGATTCTATAGTCAAAGCAGACAGAAAGTTGATGGGAGGGGGAACAGAGGCCCAGGGAGGTGAAGTGACCGCTCAGGGTCACACAGCGGATCAGTGGCAGAGGTAGGAATAGACCATGGAGAACCTGAGTCCCAATCCAGTGTCCTGTCCACTGGGCCATGCTGTCTGTTCCTTGCTCCCTCCTACCTTCCATTAAGCCACCGGACAGGCTTTGCTTGTGGGGCAGTCCTGAGCTCTCAAGCTTTTTCCCCGCTGCTGGTCTGGTTAAATTGGGAGGAGCTGAGGCCACTGCATTCAGCTTGCTTGGCTCCCCAGCCCTCACCTTGCATGTATCCCCTGATTAGAAAAAATGCATCCGTGCTTGGGAGTGGGGTATACAGCTGTTTCCCTTCCACAAACCTCCCTCTGGGACCATGTGTGCAGCTAGTGAGGGGAAGTTAGGAAATCTGGGTTCTGTTCCATACTCTGACACAATCTATGTTGACAGACGTTGGGCTAGTATTTTAACCTCTGTGCTTCAATTTCTCTATCTGTAACTGGGATAGCTCCATCTGCCACGGGGTGTGTGAGGCTTAGCTAATATGGCTTGGATGCTATAAGAAATGCAAAATATGTTGGGCCAGACAAGAGGCCCCCCTGCTCAACACATTCCAGAAAAGCAGGAAAGGTTTCTCTTGGCTGGAGCAACCCTGAAGCTGCATGATCTCAGTAGTTATACAGCCAGTGTAAAACCCTGAGGAATGTTAAATAGGATTTTTATCAGGGCCAGGTCCCTTTATAAATTAGAGGCAAGTTTGGATTAAATCATAGGAAAAACTCCTTGTGGCAAAAGCAAATAGACAAGGGAGTAACTGCCAAGAGAGGTAACTGAGTTATCATCCGTGGGATACATTCAAACGGAGATTAGATAAAGCATAGCACTGGGCCAACTCACAGTCCATAGAGGAAGGTGAATTTTGACCTCTGATGTCCCCAGCAATGACACCCTTCACGCCCATTCAGCTGATAGAATCTCGATTTTCAACACAGTATTGTGGCTTTAGGGACATCTGAATGAAGGAGGTCAGACCATGTTATGGGATTGCTAACGTCAAGTATTCAAAAATGATGAGGCAGGCCCCCGACATGAATCATATTGGTTTAAAAAATGAGTTTAAAAAAAATAAATTCTGGCTAATTTTTACTTTTTCTGCTTTTTGAGACTTCGGGCTTCATGTTTTCAAGCTTCTCTCATGAGGGCTGGAATCTTATTTTATTTTTTTTGTAATGGAAGTGGAGAGTCTCAGGTAATCACATGACTCTCGGAGCTGGAGTCCTTAAGAAAAACACCGACTGTTGCAACACTCACGATAAAATTGCAGGAGATGACAACTGACTTTGACTCCAACAATCCTCTAATGTAGCCAGAGCCCTCTCTTGGCAGAGCACTGACCTGGCTGCATGCAGAACCATGCCTAAGAACCCGGTTACTTTCACTTCCTGATCCCCAACCGCCTGCAACCCAGTAAGTGGGGCAGCAGCAACTGGTTATGCTGTCGACTTGTACGTCTGATGCTGGGCCACATCAAGGGGGAAGGTCTGCATTTAACCCCATGAGGGACAGTGGTCTGTGTGTAGTTGGGTGGGAACAGGATGTTTCATACAGCACCTGTCACACAATACCTAACGGTGAGGAGTACGTACGGCCACATGTTACCCTGCAGGGTCGTTCTACATCAGAGTGCTCAGGAGAGTGACTAACTTTGGTTTTTGTACCCTTCCAGGCTCCTTGTCAGCAGCACAATGTGGTATCCCAAGCACCATTGTGTGAGGCTGAGGTGAACTCAGGAGAAAGAGACCACCCCAGCAACAGCCAGGATGACCAAAGCACGGCTGTTCCGCCTCTCGGTGGTGCTGGGTTCCGTCTTCATGATCCTGCTGATCATCGTGTACTGGGACAACGTGGGGACGGCTCATTTCTACCTGCACACGTCCTTCTCCAGGCCTCATGCCCTGGGCAGTCCGCCCACCGCTGCTCAGGATGAAGACCGTGAAGACTTGTTGGACATGGATGAGTTTTTAGAGAAGCTACTGAGTTCTGGCCTGAGGCAGAATGGTCCCTTGAACAGAAAGATGGAGCAGGCCCCACTTCAAGGCTCCAGCAGGCCTGTCTTGGGCAATCTGGAGGAGAATGTGAGAGGCTATGACTGGTCCACCCGCGTTGCCAGAGTGAGCCTGGACCAGGAGAAGCTGCAGGCTGAACGGCGGAGGATGCTGCGGGAGTTCTGTGCCAATTCCAGCTTCGCCTTCCCCGCTAAGGAGCGTTCCTTTGATGACATCCCCAACTATGAGCTGAACCACCTGATCGTGGATGACCGCCACGGTATCATCTACTGCTATGTCCCCAAGGTGGCCTGCACCAACTGGAAGCGGGTGATGATCGTGCTGAGTGAGAGCCTGCTGGATCAGGGTGTCCCCTACCGGGACCCTCTGGACATTCCCCGAGAGCACGTCCACAACTCCAGCACCCACCTGACTTTCAACAAGTTCTGGCGCCGCTACGGGAAGTTCTCCCGACACCTCATGAAGATCAAGCTGAAGAAATACACCAAGTTCCTCTTTGTACGCGATCCCTTCGTGCGGCTCATCTCTGCCTTCCGCAGCAAGTTTGAGCTGGAGAATGAGGAGTTCTACCGGCGCTTTGCCATACCCATGCTGAAGCTCTACTCCAACCACACCAACCTCCCCACCTCTGTTAGCGAGGCCTTCAGGGCGGGCCTCAAAGTCTCCTTCCCTGACTTCATCCAGTACTTACTGGACCCCCGGACAGAGAAGATGGCCCCTTTCAATGAGCACTGGAGGCAGGTTTACCGCTTGTGCCACCCGTGCCAGATAGACTATGACTTTGTTGGGAAGCTGGAGACCCTCAATGAAGACGCGGCTCATCTGCTGCAGCTTCTCAAGGTGGACAGGCTCCTCCACTTCCCCCCCAGCTACCGGAACAGGACTGCCAGCAGCTGGAAGGAGGACTGGTTTGCCAAAATCCCTCTGGCTTGGAGGCAGCAGCTCTACAAACTTTACGAGGCTGATTTTGTACTCTTTGGCTACCCCAAACCAGAAAATCTGCTTAAAGACTAAAAGCAATTGGAAATTGGAGGAAGGGGGAGGAGGATTACCAAAAATATTTAAAACTTCACAGTATCCGCCTCTTAATCTCCCAACCCAGGAACATAAAATTAAGTATATTTTTTCTACTCATCCCCTTCCAAATTTGCAAGAATCCAGGATACTCCAGCCAGCTGTGCATCACCAGAAGACCCCCCCACTCTCCCTTTGCAATCGGAAGACTTCCTCTTTCAGTCTGTCGGCTGTGTCCTTCGGTCGCTTTTTATTAATATTTTTAAAAATTAATATATTTAAAATATTTAATACAAATTGCGTGTTGTGGTGAAGGAAGAGGTGGAGTAAAAAACAATGCCCCTGCCCCTGTGTGTTGTCTCAGTGCTGTTGTGTGCTGTGGAGGCACCGCTTCC